GAGTTTCTTCCCCAAGGCCTCGAAGTCCCTGGTGATCCCGACCACACCCTGCCTGGCCACATCATTTGTGCCCACATGGATCACCGGGAGCAGCTGGTGACCTCCGGAGCGAACAAGACGCTCCACTCTGTCCTTCACATGTTGGATGCATGCGCCTGGCAGGCAGCAAACCTCCCTTGTCTCCTGGTTGGGGTGGCACACCGCCACCTCAGTGCTCCTCAGCAGGGAATCCCCAACAACAATCATCCACCACCATGTCTTCCTGGTGGGGGTGGGTGACCGTGCGCTGGCCCTCGCCTCTCCTGCAGCGGCCCCCTTATCGTTTGTCGTCCCAGGCTGGGGGTCCTGCTGGTCCCCTGAGGCCTCATCAGCCCCAGCCTCCCCAAGCAGAGAGAACCTGTTTCCAGCTCCAGATTGGTGCCAGGAGAAGGAGGAGGCAGTGCTGGCCTCCTCCTCCTGTGGGTGACATGCCTCCATGTCTCCACAGCTGCTCCTCCCATGGCCTCTCCTTCAACCCTCTGTTCAGAGGGGGACTGCTTCCGGCGGGGCCTGGAGAGCTCTCTTGGCCCTCAGGCACCTCACCTCCTCCTCTAGCAGGGTCACCAGCTTGCACTGAGGGCAAGTGTAACCCTGCCTCTCCTGGGGGAGAAGGGCAAACATGTTGCAGCTGTCGCAGTGGACAGCAACAACTGTGACTCCCGCCAAGGCCATCTCCTAGTCTGCCATTGGGATCCCTTCCGAGACCTTGCTCCCCTGCCTTGTCTGTCCTGCAGGTTCTCTCACTCGCCCAGGTCTCCCAGACAAAAACCCACTCGCACACACACACACAGATAAAATAAACTTAAATTTATAAAATAAACTTAAATTATTAAATAAAGTTAAATTTGAATTGGAGGAAAAAGCAAAGCATAGCACAGCACCAAAAAGCAAAGAAAGAAGGGAAAACAAAGCAAAAAAACAAAACCTCTGCATCCCAGGGAAGGGAGTAGAAGAGATGGAAGGGGTATTTGTCAGTGGGTTGTATGAGTTGTGTGAACTTGTAGATTATATCTTTAATCTTGGCACCAGGGAGCAGCATACTTGGCGATTCTCTGGGTTGTCACGACATAACTGTTTTTCTGTCTTGTGCAACAGGGAATCTCCCTCAACTCTCTTCTCCTTTTGTTGTTGCAAACTTTGGTATCCTTTTCCTTTCTTGATTGGCCTTTTGTCTTGTTCAGAGTTACACAGTGTGTTGTGTAGTTCTTTCACAGTGGGTTTCTCTCATGTCCCTCCCTTAAGTAACTTAAAGCAGTTCAAGAATTCCACTGCTTCCACTGGGGCAGAAGTTTTTCTAGGCCTTCTCCATCTGACTGTCACCCTGTTCCAGTAATTTCCTCTTTTTCCCTTCCCTCAGGATTCTCTTCTGCTGCCTCAGCTTGCTGACACTCTTCTTGCTTCTGGACTACACTTAGCTGTTGCAGCTCCTCTGTCTAAAAACTCTTCATTTTCTTTTATTACCTGGAGGATGGGCACTCACTGCTCCAGTGCTCTCACCTTTTCTTGTAACAGGGCTACTAGTGTGTAGTTGTTGTAGGAGTCTCCTTGGTCCATTGTTTGTGCACCCTCAGTGATTCTGTTTTGGGGGCAGGGCTGTTGTGACAACTGGTGCTTTCGAATGTCTTCACTAAAGGTTAGCAACACAGTCCTATTAGTGTGCATGCGTATGCTGGGGGGGGATTAAGATGAAATAAAAAGAAAGGGGGAAAATGTCAGGGACCTCCCCCACCAAACTCCTGTTTGCTCTCCCTGTTCATTCTTTCTTTCCCTGAGAGTTTGGCTGCTTGTACCGGAGAGGCCCTAAGAGCAGCTGGGGCAGCTTGCTCTGATAGGAGTCAGGAACCAGAATGAATCAGCCCACCCCTACAGCTGCTGCTAGTTGATTAGGCCACTCCTCTTCAGTAAATCAGCAGTCTGGAACTTCCCCTCAATTGTCTCCTAGAAAAACAAAAGACTTTTAGCTGGGCTTGTGCAGGCCTGCCTCTTCCACTACAACTCCTCCTCCAGTAAACTCCTGTTCACTCACTCCCTGAGAGCTTGGCTGCTTGTATCACAGAGGCCCTTGACCAGCTAGGGCAGCTTGCTCTGCTCTTTTAGGAGTCAGGAACCAGAATGAATCACCCTGCCTACACAACTGCTGCTAGTTGATCAGGCCACACCCCTTCAGTTAATCAGTAATTAGCAAGACATAAGAACATTAGAAAAGCCATGATGGATCAGTTCAAATGTCCATCTAGCCAGCATTGCATATGCATGGTAGCAAACCATATGTACACAGAATCACTCAAACAGGATGGGTACAAGACCTCTTGCCCAAGCTCCTCAGCAACTGGTATATGTAGGCATGCCACTGTAATGTGAATGGGTTAGTGGCTGTGAGAGGCAGGGAAGGGTTAACTGACATGGCTTAAAATGCTGGAAAAATCAGGGGCTAGCCTTGCAGGAAGCTGGTGTCCAAGGTCATGGGAGGCAAGGCTCAGTGCTTGTTATGCATAAGGAAGAGTGCCCTTGAACTATACCCCAAGGGCACAGGAAATAGCTGCAATGGTTTGTACCTGGAGTCTATCATAGATCATCATTTCATGGTCAGCTAATGCAGGTTGTGAGGAATAAAACCCTAGCCTGGAAAGGCTAAGCATTCTTCTTCAAGGAGAGGTTCTGCTTTTGTTTCCGTTAGTCTATGCCAAAGATTGCTGTGCTGCCTGTGCCTGATGCCAGTGTAGTATCTGAGTGTATAGCTGAGGCTGGGCTGAGCTTTGTTATTTTCTGTCCAAGTGGGCCAATAAGGCCTGGGAGTTGGGGATTTTTGGTTAGCTGTAAACTTGTTCTTGCTGTTCTCCAAGTTCCCCTTCCCCCCTTTTCTCCTTTTTATCCTTTTAGCTGTAACTTTAGTACTCTCCATCCATATATTTTATCCTTTTAATAAAGCTACTTTCCCCCAGTGCTTGGGTTTGTCATGTGATGAATCCAGTGTCTGGTCCAGGGCTCTGAGCAGAGCTTTTAGCCCAGTTGGCCATGAGAGTGGGGAATCCTGGTTGGCTTTCCACTATAGCCACTTCTGGTGAAGGAGATAGTATTTTGCCAGTAATGCTAGTAGCCACCACTTGCCTTTCCCCCCTGAATCTGTTCAATCCCTTTTCAAATTAAGGAGTGATGGCCACCATCCAGATAGGTAGCCATCACTACTTCCCATGGCAGCAAGTTCCATAGTTTAACTGTTAAAAAATACTCTTTCCTTTCCGTCGGAAGAGAAAAATATTCCAGGCATGCAGAGTTCTTCTTAAAACTTTATTGCAATGAAGGGAACAGAAAGGAATGATTCCCCTTCCCATTCTTCTGAGCACATGTTCACACACCCCTTTTGAACCCTGCTCCCGGCCACTTGTTCCCTCCTCCTTTCCCCTAATTGGCTAATAGGGTACTGAGAGTTACATTCTTTCTGCCCACCTACTGCCCCAACACCGGGCCGTTCTTCCCAATTCAACCCTGCCCCTGGTGGGCTACAATAGGCTCATTTTGTTCTGCCCAGCTTGTCAGTAAACAATCAGGAAGTATTTGGCTCTCCTGCCTACCGTGCCTGTTTCCCCACACCTTGTGCTATCTGATTTTAGCCCCTCCCCTCCTTTGGGCTAAGTAATTTTGTTACCTTTTTAAATCTCTTTTACTCCCTTGTTTCAAATCATCCTCTCACACCTATCATAGCTATATGTTGTATGAAAAAGTGCTTCCTTTTGTCTATTCTAAACCTTGCCCCAGTCTGCTTCATGGAGTGATCCTGGAGATGAGTGTTATGGGAGAGGGAGAAAAATGTCTCCCTCTGCATTTTCTCTTCTCCATGCACTATTTTAAGCACCTCTATCATGTTTCCCCTTACTCACCTTTTTTCTAAATTGTATAATCCCAGTAATGACAGCCTCTTTTCATAGGGGAGCTGCTCCAGCCCTCTGATCATTTTTGTTGCACTCTTCTGTACTTTTTCCAATTCGATAATGCCCATACTCAGGTGAGGCAGCCAGAACTGCTCCCCCACACTAGATACCTTCTAAAAGAAGCTGGACAGCCATCTGAGTGGGGTGCTGTAAAGTGGTGTCCTGCAACAGTAGGGAGTTGGACCTGTTGGCCTTCATGGTCTCTTCCAACTTTACTATTTTATGATTCTGTGGACACAATATGCTAAGTGCAGTTGTACCAAGGATTCATATAAAGGAAATAAGATCTTGGCAAGTACTATTTTCTGTTCCATTCCTACATATGCCTAACACAGAGTTTGCCTTTTTCACAGTGGCCATGCACTGGACCAACATTTTCATTGTGCTGTCCACTACTACACCAAGATCCTTTTCTTGCTCAGTTGCTGCTAGCTCCAA